ACCTTTGTCAGAGTTACCTCCGTTTTGTTCATAATTCTGAGAGATTTTTTATTTTAATCTTGAGTGATGGTGAATCTTGTCAAAGCTTTTATCTTTTAAGATGATCATGCTGCAGCTCTCACAGAATTTCTATTTTTAATTAATTATGCAGATTAAAATGTGTTCCCTCATTCTTTCCATCTGGGTGGGTCCCCTCACTTGATCCCAATGCCTTGTACTCCTTGCAGGAGACTAGATTTGATAGGGTGTTTTGCGTATGCTCAAGGTGGGCATTGGGCTGCAGGGTTCTTCCAGTGCTGTTGCCTAACATTGGTATCTGTGTATTAACAGACACCCATAATAAGTGAGAAATGTTCTGTGTCTTCTATTTGCTGAAATTCTGTGAACTTTGTTTTCTTTCTTCCTATAACATTCAGTAGAACTTTCCAGTGAAAACACTAGAACGTTTTCCTTTGAGGATTTTAAAATGTGAGTTTGTAGTCTGTGGCTTGTGAAGAACTGGTCCATTTAGTCTCAGCCGTGAATTCTCTAGCATGTCGTGGGTTAGATTTACATATCCTTCCTTCCCATCTGTGTATTGTGACTGTCTGGCCAAGACTTTTGCCCATTTCTTAGTCTGGTTGTAAATTTTCATGATGTTGACAGATAGGAGGTTTATAAAATATGTTTTGGATAAGTCTTTTGTCAGGTGTCTTTTGTAAATGTTTCTTCTGGGCCATGGTGTGACATCTGCCTCTCTGGACATTGTCTTCCTAGTACATAAGAGTTCTGTTAGGGAGACACGGAGAGAATCTGCTCAGTCTCATCTCTTGGGAGCAAGGCAGTCATTTATTCAATGTGGGCAAGCAGGTGGACTGGCTCTGGCAGAACCAGGGTAGAAAGGGGAGAGCACAGACTTAAGTAGAGTGGTTGCTAGGTGGCTGTCAGGTTGGTGGGAGGATTCATTGCAAGAGGAGTCTGGGGCAAAGATAGGGCGTTCTGTGCTCCTTGGAACAGGTGGCGGTGTAGATGTTTCCTGGAACCCAGTGGTGGGACACGATGGCCTTTCCCACTGGTGCCCAGTGTGGGTGTGATGGCCCTTCCAGTGGGTGGCAGAGTTTTCTGCCTGGCCAAGCTGGGGTAGAGGTGTCCAGGATATGCCATGTCCCAGAGTTTGACAATTTTAAACTTAATGAAGTCTGTCTTACCAATTATATCTTTCATGGATTGTGTCTTTAGTGTTATATTTTTAAACAGCATTGCCATATGGAAGGTCATCTAGGTTTTCTATTGTGTTTACTTCCAGCAGTTTTGAGTCTTGAGCTTTACGTGGAGTTCTATGATCCACCTGTGTTAACATTTGTCAAGGGTATATAATCTATGTCTAGATTAATTTCATCTTTCACACATGGATGTTCAGTAATCCCAGCATACTTTGTTGAAATGCCTGTCTCTGCTCCATTGGCTTGCTTTTGCTCCTTTGTCAAAGATCAGCTGACTTTGTTAAATACATGTATATATGGATTAGATATTCTGTTCCTTTGATATAGTTGTCTGTTTTTATTTTTTAGCAAACATGGTGTTTTAATAAAATATTAAAATCTGGCATTTGCTATGTACAGCAAATAAATATTGCTCCATCCAAACCAACAAATTTGTTTCTGCTTTTTAGACAAATAATTCGTCACCCTAACCCTTACCCATCCCTCCTCCTCTCCAGCCCCATCTCCTGTGGCTTCCTAATCTTCAGTGCAGTGCTAAGCGACAGTCTCAATGGCATGAGGTTTGACAACAGCGGGACTGTCATCAGAGCTGGGTGAGGCATTGAGGGCCATACCCAGGCCTCACTCTGCTCCCGGGCAGGGTGGGTTCAGGATGCATGTGACATCCTCACTCTCAGTTGGCCATAAAGATAGACACCTTGGCCCAGCCTGGGAAACCTGTAGTGGCGGGAGAATGGTTGGGATCCCAGCAAAGTCATGGCCCTGTGCCCAGTATCAGGAGAACCCAGCCGTGGTCATGTTATTGTTTAGTTCCTTTAGAAATGTTTCCCCTTCAAAAATATTCCAGGTCCTTCTTGCCTCAAATGAAGAATTGGAAGAGAGAAACCAAAAATAGTGCTAATATTTATTTGAGAACTGTGGGGTGAATGGGTATGAAAGAAATCAGCTCTACAGAATGAAGTTGGGCCAAACAAAGAACAAGAGGGTAAAAGCAAAACTAAAAGTACATGCTGCATCTGTGAAATGCAGCGGACAGTAAAATGGAAACTCACAGTAGCAGCTTTCCATGATGGCCACTCTTCTTTTATGCTGTCCTCATCTCATGGGCGCTCAAGAGAAGACCCACATCCGTGGTCCTCAAGCTGCCCAGGTAACTTGTGATTGACAGGCTCGGCTCATTTCCCCAGCCAGCTTTGCCATGCCCCATCTTCTATACCAGTCAGACCTGATGTGTGAGCAGGAGCCCTGGGATGGCTGTGGCCAGAGGAGCAATGACCTGCTTCTGGGAACAGGGTAACATGGCGGGAAAGTGTAGGAGGGCAGTGCCCAGGACAGAGTGGGCACCGTGCCTGCAGGCAGCACTCCTTGGCCAAAGTAAGTGAATCCTCTGTCCAGGGAGCAGAAGGCACCCAAGGCAGTGAGTGGTCCCTGGAGGTCAGGTCAGCTGTTGAGTGGCAGGTCCCAATCCAGGCAATGGGAGAGGGTGGGGAGGACTCAGGCTGACAGGTGGGCAGAAGGTAATGGCTTGGCCTGGACCACTCTGGTCTGTAGGAACTTAGCCACTAGCCAGGCAGACCCTGGGAGGACGTCCTTAGACGATGTCTTTGAAAATCTTCAGTCCTTTCTCCTTTTGGCGAGGGAGAGCTGAGCAGGCTCCCTGGTTGACAGCTGTCCCTTTGGAAAGGTCCAGTTTTTCAGCATGAAATAGTGGTTGGTGGCAGATTTTTTGTGCAGGACGCTCTCATGCATCTTGCTGTGGTCCCCGTCCAGGTTGCAAAGGCCACCTGTATTTCACACCTCAGGCCACCATGTCCTCTGCCCCAGTCCTATTGCACACACATTTGTCTCCTCCTGGAACGCGGTCCTTCTCTCTCCCGCCTGAGGACACTTCACTTAAAGTCCCCTGACCTCCTGGTCCCCACCCAGGCCACACCTCTGAGCCTAGAGGTCCACACCGCCTCCCTTGCACCAAGCTGGGCAGCCCTCTGCTCAAGTTCAACTGGGAGAGGCCCTCGCAGGGCACGCCCCTCCCTGACCCCGCCCCACGTGACCACGACGCCCCGCCCATCGCTGACGGGCATGCGCACCGAGCACAAAGGCCACCAGACAGCAGGGACTCCTGGGGTTCGCTGTTCCCTCTGGACGGTGGCGGTTGCCCAATGTATCAAGAGTGTTCTGTTCAGTGTTAACAGTACCTGATATTTCTACCTCAAGTTTCAAAAATGTTCTCTTAACCCCTCATCAGGTGTTTCCTCTTCTAGCTATGTCTCTGCCCTAAAAGGTTCCTCTCAATTTCCTCTCCCCAACTATATATAAACGAACTCTCACTGCAACTGGGGGCTCAGAATTCAGAGTGGTCAAACTCCTCTGAGACAGCCAGCTAGTAAAGGTTTTTCTCCATCTCTTCAAGTAACTTTCGGATTCTCAAGTCTTCAAATCGCTGTAGCTGTAGAGCTTGAGCAGTACCTCTTGAGCTATAGCACCTGGCTATAACACTGAGCTCTTCCCCTTTGCCACACAGTGGGTGTTTAGATTTTTGGATTTAGATCTGTCTTCCCTTCCGATACATTCATTCAGTGGTGTAAAGTTCCCTATTGGCATGGATTTTACTACACACCACAAAGTTCGACGAGTTGGTTTTCCATTTTCTTTTAGTTCAAGATACTTAAAAGTGTCTTGAGATTTACACGTGATCCATGCACTTTTTAGAATTAGGCTGTGTAACCTGCAAGTTATTTGAGATTTCTAACTCTGATTCTATACCTGACTTCCAACTCCATCCCATTGGAATTGTAGAGTGTGAAAGTATTGTTTCTGTTGTTCAAAGATGTGTAAGGCATGTTTAATGGCCTCAGGGTGAGGCTGTGGTTTGTTGTGGTGAATGTTCCTTGTGCAAGTGAGAGTGTGCATCCTTCTCTTGCTGGGTGCTGTTATCTCATCACACTTGTCTTCCTCTGTTTTCCTATAATTCTTTCTAACAGTTAAGAGGTTTTGTGCGTGCAGTTTTTAAAAATAATAGTGACCCACAAAATTCTGGGGTGACAAGTGTCAGATTTCCCTACATTGCTTTTTCCCACACAGTTGCATTTTCTTAAGAATTGCATTCTGTGCTGTTACTGGGCCCTGGGTGTTTGGTTTGTTTGGCTTTCTACTGACTAAAGACTGAACTTGCATGGATCACTCATTAAAAGATGTGAAGCGTTACAGTTTAAATGGATCAAAATCTTCACCTTAGAAGAATCAGAAGCCTCAGTACAAATGTAAAGTTCAAAAGAGCATCATAAAAGGGAGGACTTGTAATATTAGCAGTGTCCATGAAATTAGTACTGTCTAAGGAACTGTCTGCAAAAAGATTGAAAAAAAAAAAAGAGCTATGTTGAGCAGAGAGGAATGCTCGTCACCATAGATGAGGTATGGTCATTGCAGGTAAAAGTAGGCAGGTCAGGCAAAAGTGATTTTGCTCACACTCCAGGATGTCTCCCCTCTAGGACTCATGGATATTTTGAGTGGTTACATGGTGACTCTCCTGTAGAGGCATGAGGGGCAGTCCTGGCATCGCCACAGCACTTGCCTTTCTCAAAGTCACCTCTAGTACAAAAGGACACCCAGACCAGGCTGCTGCTCATGAGTTTCTTGGTGGCCATGTACTTTCTGGGCTGCATTATCTCTTTCTCCTTAGGAATGTTGTGGAACAAAGAGCTAGTTCGTCTGTGTGCCCCTATGCTGGTGACCAGTGGCTATGCCATCAGTCCTGCGGTGCTCATCAGTACTGAAAAATGATTGTCCCACTCTTGAAACTCATGTTTGGGGGAAGGGAGATGTTTAATTATTCAGTGACAATCAGCTTCTCTTCAGATGAGTCAGTGCACTGGCTTCAGAGCATTCATCATGGCCCACAGGCTGTGCTCCCTGCAATGGAAACACATGCAGTTAATGCTGTTCTCTGTTACGCCCGTGCTGATACATGTGACTGGCAAGGACAGAATCATTAATTCTGATATGGAAGTGTGTGAATTTGAAGTTACTCATAAAGTTTGGATCTCTTACCTAGATCAAATTTAAAGTGACAGGAAGTGATCAGTGATGGAAACAAAGGTGGGGGGACAGGAAAGAGAGAAATAAGGGATCACCAAGGGGCATGAGGTAAGTTTTAGGTGTTACTGTATTTTCACCCATGTTAAAAAGGCCAGTGTCTCAGCTGGTGCACTTTAAGCTGTGCAGTTTATGTCAGTTAAAAATGAAAAAGTTGGGGCTGGGAATTTAGCTCAGTGGTTTGCCACCTGCAGTGCAAGCGGAAGGGCCCAAGGTCAATCCCCAGTACCAAAAAAAAAAAAAAGTTGTTTATAAAGAAATCCTTACAAAGAGAGTAAAAAACAATTTCAGAAACCACGAAAGATGCACGTGTGTTCATACATCTGTGTACTGTATGTGCATAGGTTAGGTAACTTGATAAGGAAGAAGCTTAAACATGGGCCAGAAGCTGGAGAAAATTTCTGCATATTCCATGACACAAGCCTCACAAACATTTGGCCAAGCATATTTTAATAACATAAGCAAATAAGCTAATGAGTATGAAATACTTATATGTTTGCACAGTTTATAACTTCTTATGGATGACATACAGATTCCATATACATTCCAAAACAAGGTCAGACAGATATAAGGGGCAAAATGGGATATAAGTTGTGAGTCTGCATTTAGCCTCAGAAACCAGAGTCAGGAATCCTAAGTCTGTAATGACTACAGGTTTATGTTCTGGTGTTATTTCAGTTTTTAAATGTAGTCAAGTCCCTAAAGCATCGTTGCTAGAGCACACTACTGGGAACAACACGGGATTGCAGACATTACAAAGTCAGGCTTTCTCTCAGAGCCTCTCCACCCCCACTCTGTCTTTCTGTGATACTGGGAGCAGTGTGAGGCTTCGGCCTCCTTCCTCACAGGTATAATGGGATACTGTACACTGCCATGGGGCAGGCTAGTGAGTGTGAAAACCCACTGCCTTCAGTTCTCCCTAGGTTAGGATAAATGTGCATTTCAATAGCTGGTATGCAGATATGAAGAATGGTCCAAGTCCTGACCAGAAAGCCCCTGCTGCCCTTAGACATTTGGTGACAGGTTTGATGATTGATATCCTTACCAGCTCTGAAACAGCAGGTGGGTGGCTGGAGTTGCCAGGCAGCACGAAATGGAACCTTTCAGAGAGTGCGGTGTAGACACAGATGTGACTGGCTGCAAAGGAGACCAGGAAACCAGGGCTTCTGTGCTGCATCACAGGTGCTGGACAACTTCCTTCCAATGAGCTCTGATTGCAAATATCCAAATGTGTGTGCTTCTGTAGAAAGGCAACAGGACCCCCCTAGGGAGGACAGAACTGGAGTGCCCTTTGGAACACTTCACCTGTCTCTAGATTTTACTTTCCCCTCTCCTGAGTAACAGCCACCTGGGGACAGCTGTACCCAAACTTTCTTCAAAGCTCCCTTGACACATCGGCGAGAGGGATCAGAAAGGTGACATCAAGTAGACATCATCACATTCTCTCCTTTTGATGCTAAATTCACATAGGTCCAAATCCGTTGCATGTTCACCTAGCACCTGCTGAGTGACAAGTGCGTCATGCTGGCTAAGAGCTGTGGGACAGTGGGGGGCCACAGTGCACCCCAAGTACCCCATCTTGCTGATAGCTGACATCACCACTTTTGATGCCGTGTTGAAAGGTGGCATGGCCACAAAGTGGGCCTATCCAGCTGAAGATGGAGCCCGCCACCTTCACGGTGCTGCTCAGGTTTCTGTATCCAGATGAGGTTCAAATTGACCCAGAAACAGTCAAGACCACTCTGTGTGCTGCTGTGAAATATGCTGTTCTGGCCTTGGAAGCACATTGTGTGGAATTTCTCCCCAAACATTTTTTTTTTTTTTTGTACCAGGGATCGAACTTGGGTCCTTG